CATCCATCCATCCATCCATCCATCCATCCATCCACTCATCCATCCATCCATCCATCCATCCACTCGATCCACTCATCCATCCATCCATCCATCCACTCGATCCACTCATCCATCCATCCACTCCATCCACTCATCCATCTGTCCATCCATCCATCCATGCATAAACATCTATTGAGCACCTATTGTGTGTACTGTTCCAGGCATTGGGGATTCAACAGCAAACAAAAGAGACGGACATCTCTACCCATGGGCAGTTCATAGTTCAATGAGGGAGGTAAATCAGAAATAACTTAAAAGAAGTAAGAAATATGGTATGTTGGCTTCTCTGGGCCTCAGGTTCCTCTTCTGTGAAATGGGGACAATGACTCTGCCCACCTCCAGGAGAACCAGCCTCAGGCCCATTTGTTGTTATGATCCAGTTCACACTGATTGCTTGTTATGAATGAACCCAGCCCATTTTGGGGTGGGGGTGAAGGCAGGGGCAGGACATTCAGGCCATCACATAGGTGAAGCTAGAATTCTTACTGTGAAAGGAGGCAACACATGAGTCTTTGAAAACAAATCTATTTTGATCATCTTTGTCTTGAAGTTTTTAGCCTATTATCCTGTCAGTTACTGATATGGTTGAATTTAAGTCTTCCGTCAATGGGCATTTGGATGGTTTCTGGTTTGGCGTGAATACGAACGCTTGCACCTCTTGAATGTAAATATCAGGGTGGAATTGACAAGTTGCCTTCAAGACACTAACAATTTCCACAGTTGGTCATAATGGGTCCACCTTTTCAACTTTAACCATTTTTGTGGATCTGGACACCATTACCACTGTATGAATATTCTGTTTAATTTAAGCCACCTCCTGTGTATAAGCATTTGAGTTGTTTTCAGGGTTTTTTTTTAAGATTTTATTTATTTCTTTGACAGAGAGAGACACAGCAAGAGACGGTACACAAGTAGGGGGAGTTGGGAGAGGGGGAAGCAGGCTTCCCCGCCGAGCAGGGAGCCGGATGCAGGGCTTGATCCCAGGACCCTGGGACCATGACCTGAGCTGAAGGCAGACACTTAACCGACTGAGCCACTCAGGTCCCCTGAGTTGTTTTCAGTTTTTACTCTTCATAAACAATACAATGATGAACATCTTTGAACATCCTCCTTTTTGCACTTTTAACTGACCCCTTAGCAATCACCTTTTTGGTTATTTCTAGTTGTTTTGCTTTTACATAGAAAAGAACACTAGTATAAACTTCTTTGTACATTCATCTTTGTGGACTTAAAAGTTTTTGGTTTTTGTTTTGAGATGTTAGGGTTTTTTTGTTTTTGTTTCTCTTTTAACATCTCTTCTCACATTTGTCTTGAGGACAGAGCCAGCCCAGGGCAGTGTTGCTGCACGTTGCATGGGATGAAGGGCTGAATGAAGGCTGCTTCCTCTTGCAAGCTGGCCTCTGAGATTGCACCTTCTCCTCCTGTTCCTCCCCCAACTCTATGGCCCTCCAAGGTATGAAGATGTCTGGGAAAGGAATCGGCTGTTTCAGCCAGAAAGGGGGTGGGGTGGGCTTCTGCCCAACAAGCGTGTTATGCTCCAGGTGACATATCAGGGCTGCTTGGCAGTATCCCAATTCCCTCTGAACCAAGGTGCTTCTGGAAACCATAGTCACCCCCTCATTCTTCTACCCATCCATCTGCCAGTGATCTACCCATCCTCTATCAGTCATCCATCATCCATGCCACTGATCCATCTAGCCGTTCATCAGTCTACCTCTTATTCATTGGTCTCTTCACCAATTCCTTCAGTTCTCTCCATTCACACACTCCTTTATCTACTCAGATCTCATCCCTCCTCTACTCATCATCTGTCCATCCATCCATTCCTCCCTCCTTTACCCCTCCCTCCTATTCATCCATCCACTCATTCATTCATTTACCCACTGAACCATCCAACTGTCCATCCACCCATGTATCCATTTCCTTATTTATTGATCTGTTCATCAATTCATTCATCAACTTCATTTACCTACTTATTCTTCCACACAACCCGTTATCCATCTTTCCAACCCATCCACCATTCATTTATCCAGATTTAACCATTCAGTATCTAGTCATTCATCCATCTATCTACCCAACTTTCAATCCACTCAGCCACTCATTTATGAAGCTGGCCACCCCCCGAACAGCCCGGAACCAGGCCCTAGGACTGAGATGGGGACACAGAAATGACTCAGAGCTGGTTCCTGCCCTCTAGAAATTCACAGTAAATATAGAGAGGCAAATAATAACAACACACATACACACACACACCGAGACAAATAGGAAATTTCCAAAACAGTGTGATCAGTGCAATTCACAGTGTGCTCCAGATATAAAGGAAATTCAAAAAGCAAGAAGGTGGTTGGCATTCAGCTGAGAATGTGCACTATCGCCAGTGTTGAAGTGACCACAGGATCATGAGGGAGACATAGGTACCAAAGGCCATCTGGGCAGGTGGCTGGGAGAGAGAGGGCCTGCAAAGGACAGGAGGAAGATTGCACGGTGTCAGGAACGAGAAGCTGTAGGTCCCGGAGGGCTCGCTCCAGCCAGGAGACCTCTTGTCTGTATGATCCTACTCTGTCCACCTCCCTGTCACCCTCCACAGGCAGAGCTGACCCGCCCAGGAACCAAGACAATGCAGGAAGCAACACTTTACAGTTGTCACCCAATGGGCAGAGCCTCTACCAGCCCCAGTCTGTCTCCAATCTCCAAGACAAAGCAGGGACACTGAGTCCACAGCCTCAGCACAAGCCACTGGCGTCCAGGGAGAGCCTTCTGCAACAGCATGACAAGGACAAGATGGTGCCTCGTCATATCCCACACCTGCGGGCTGTGGTTGAGAGCCAGGCCTTCAAGAATGTCCTGGTGGATGAGATGGACATGATGCTCTCCTGTGCAGCCACCCTCATCCAAGCCAACTGGAGGGGCTACCGGCTCCGGCAAAAGCTGATCTCCCAGATGACGGCAGCAAAGGCCATCCAGGAGGCCTGGCGACGCTTCAACACCAGTCGTCTCCTCCGGTCTGGCAAGTTGGTGGGAAAAAAAGTGAGCACGGAGGAGGGCGACATCCCTTACCACACCCCCCAGCAGGTGCGGTTCCAGCATCCAGGAGAGGGCAAGCCCCCTGCGGCCCCGCCTGTCATGGTGAGCAAAGAGACCCAGTTCCCTTCCTCCGACACCCTGGCCGCCTGCACCCACCAGCTGGCCCTCCTGCAGGCCCAGCGTGCTCCACCTTGCACCACTGGGGACCCTGGCATCACCTTCCTGCCACACCAGACCGTTGCCGTGAGACTTCCATGTCCGGCGAGTCTAGATGCAAAGTGCCACCCGTGCCTGGGGACGAGAACTGTCAGAAATGCCTGTCTTGTCCACATCGAAGGGGACACGGTGAAGACCAAGCAAGTAACTACCAGAGCCAGCAAGGCAGGAGCCCCAGGGCCGCTCCCATGTGGAAGGTGTGCCCAGGCAGTTCACAGATCACTCAAGACCCAAGCCCAGACCCACGTGGAAACAGAGGTCCTCAAAGCCCCACTCCAGACAGGCCCAGCATTTGTGATAAACAAGACCCCACCCCAGATGTATCCAGTGACCGCAATGACCAAGACCCCACCCCAGCCATGCCTCGTGCCCACAGTAACAATAGCCAAGACCCCACCCCAGGTATACCCAGCGGCCCGGATGACCAAGACCCCAACCCAGATGTACCCAGCGGCTGCCATAACCAAGACCCCACCCCAGACATACCCTGCAGTCGCGATGACCAAGACTGCACTCCAGTCATGCCTGGCAGCCATGATGAACAAGACCCCACCCCAGCCATGCCCAGCGCCCATGGTAGCAATAACCAAGGCCCTGCCCCAGACGTACCAGGTAGCCCCAATGGCCAGGAGCCCACCCCAGACATGCCCGGTGGCTGCAATGACCAAGACTTCACCCCAGACATCCCAGCCAGCCACTGTGACCAAGAACCCACTTCAGTCATGCCTGGCGGCCCTGGTGAATAAGACCCAACCGCAGCCATGCCCAGCAGCCCCGATATCCAAGACCCCAACCCAAATGCGCCCAACAGCCTCAATGACCGACACTTCTCCCCAGACGCGACCGGCAGCCATGATGGCCAAGATCTCACCGCAGATATGCCTTTTGGCCTCGATGATTAAGCCCCCAACCCAGACACAGCCTGTGGCCACAATGACCAAGGCTCCACCCCAAATGTGCCCAGTGCCCACCATGACCAAGACTCCAACCCAGATGCGCCCGGCAGCCCCGATGACCAAGACCCCGCCACAGACGTGTCCGGTAGCTGCCATGGCCAAAACTCCATCTCAGATGCTCCCCGGGGCCTCAGTGACCAAGACCCCTCCCCAGACGCGTCTGGCAGCCATGGTCACCAAAACCCCAGCCCAATTTCGCTCAATGGCTGCCATTCTCAGGAGCCTATGCCTGCCACCTTCAGCAGGTGGAAATCTGAAGTCTTCACCTCCAGTAGCTGTGGCAGCTGGAATTCCCAACGCCTCATCCCACACGTGTCTGAACGGACCGAAGGCCAAGGCTGTGGTGAACACAAAGCAGACAGCAGGGAGGGTCAGGGTCTCTTCTCACTCATACTTGGCTGAGGGAAAGGTCAAATACTTTAACTCACCACATCTGGGAGCTGGGGCCCCCAAGGCTCCAGCCAAGCCTCCTTTGGAAGCTGAAAAAATGAAGGTCTTTGCCCAGAAGCAGGTGAAAACGGAAACGGTGTCTAGTACCGGTGTGGCCATTGAAATGCCCGGGGCTTCACCCTGGGGGAAAATGGCTGAGGACAGGAACAAGTCCTCATTACAGACACACCTGAGGGCAGATGTGAAGGTTCAGTCCCAGGCATATGTGCCTGTAGAAACAGCCATGGTCCTGCCCCAGGCCCAGCTGGCCACATGTCCGGCCAAGGCCCTGCCCCAGACACATCTGGATACATGTCTGGCCAAGGCCCTGCCCCAAGAACGGCTGGCCACCTGTTCGACCACAGCCTTGTCCCAGGGACAGCTGCTTGCCGAACTGACTGCGGTTCTGCCCCAGGCCCATCTGGGCACATGTCTGTCTAAGACCGTGCCCCAGGCACATCCACACACCAAGCTGACCACAACTCAGGCTCAGACACATCTGGGCACGTGTCTGTCCAAGGCCCTGTCCCAGGCACATCCACCTGCCAAGCTGACCAAGGCCCCGTCCTTCGCACATCTGGGCACATGTCTGACCAAGGCACAGTCCCAAGCGCATCTGGCCACAGGAGTGATAAAGGTCCAGTCTCAAGCACATCTGCCCACCGGGCTGACCAAGGTGCAGTCCCAGGCCCAGCTGGTCACAGAAACTGCCAAGTGCCTCTACACGGCCCATCAAGCTGCTGAGCTCAGCGGCAAGACCCAGTCGCAGCCACTCCTGGCCGGGTTCAAGGCCTCCACCCAGCCCTGCCAGCACGTTGGTGCCCTTGGCACTCTGCCCCGAGCCAAGCCAGAGGACAGACTGACTCAGATCCAGCCCCACAGTTATGTGCAGGGTAAAGCCACCCACGGCCCACGCCAGGGGGCCTCCGAGACCCAGAGCATGCTGGTGCCTCTGCTGGCATCTGCTGGACACCCCACATGTAACATTGAATCCTGGGGTGACAGTGGGGCTATCCGGGCCCAGTCACCGATGCCCAGCCCAGCCACACCCTGCCCAGAAGAGCTGACTGCCTCCCAGCTCGCCTCCCTGTGCACTGAGCTGGCTGCCGAGATGGATTCCCAGGAGGACCTCCGTGCCCTACTGGCAAAAGCCCTCTCCCAGGGCCAAGTGAAGGCAGCCCTGAACCAGGCCCTGTCCAAGAAAGTTCTGGGCTCCACGATGGCCAAGGCCCTGCCCCAGGGCATGCTGGGCGCAGCGCTGATGAAAGTGCTATCCTGGGGCGAGCTGGGCCTTGCGCTGTCCCACACCCTGTCCCCCAGCGAGCTGCGGGCAGAACTCACCAAGGCCAAGCAGGGGAAACTGGTGGACGTGCTCAGCAAGGCCCTGACAGAGGAGGAGTGGGCTGCCCTGAGCCAGGCCCTGTGTCAGGGGGAGCTGGGCGCTGTCCTGAGCCAGTCTGTGTCTCAGGCGGCCCTGAGGACTGGTGTTGTCCTCCCTAAGGCCGCCTCGAAAACAGCAGGAAACAGGATGACTGTGTTCCCAGCCCCGGTGGAGGTGGACCACAGGGGGAGCCCATCGACCGCATGGGGGCCTGCCCTAGGCCACGTGAGACCACAGCCCAGCAAGGTCAGGTTTCCCCAGGACGGGGCCTGGGAGGGCTCCTCCACAGGCTGGCCTGCCGGGTTCTTGGAAGAGATGGGGGATGGGGCCATGCTCGGGGGGTCACCCTGCTCGCCGGTGGTCTCTATGGGTGCCTCCCTGGCTAGTAGAGTGGTCACTGCCATTCATTGTTATCCCCTAATCGCTGCCCTGGACCCCAGTCTATCATGGGAGATGGAGTCCAGCAGGGGCTCCTCCTCAGACCTGTATCTGAGCCCTGAGGTCAGTGAGGAAAACGTGTGCCTGCCCCCAGGGGCCAGTGAATTGACATCAGATCTCAACCCTGTGGAGAGTGACACGGACCCCAGTTTGCCCAAGCCACCCCACCTGCAGCTGCCCCCCAGTCTGTGGCAGCCGCTCATTGCCAATGGTGTGGGCCCAAGCACCAGCCAGCAATCGGTGGTGGCTGGTGGCAGAGCCCCGAGCTCCCATAAGCCACATGCAGTCAGCAGGGTGGCCCCACGTCTGTGGACATCGTCGGGGGAGGGCCGGGTGGCCTCGGGTATGCTTCCCCGCACTTCGGGTGGTGGGAGGGCTGTGCATTCCCACCAGTGTGCTGCTGCCTATGGGGGATCTGTTTGTTGCTGTCAGCCCTCCGGGGTCAACAAAGTGTCCTCCAGCATGTACCGACCCTCAGCCACCAAAGTTCCACAACAGCCACCCGTGGTCCGTGAGGAGACCATGCAGAAAGCTCAGTCCCCAAATCACAAATGGGCCTCCATGAACACTAGGGAGAGGATCAGTAAGGCGACCCCGGGTCCCCTGAGGGCTGCCACTGTGAGCAAAATGTCCCTAACCCAACCCCAGACCCCCAAGGCTGGTGACATAACCCTAGGTCTCTTGCCTAGCTCCATGGCTCCTGGTCCTCACTGGGCACTCAAGACTCAGGCAGATCCCAGTGTGTTCCCAGCCTCCCCAGGCAGGAGGTTTGCACACACCCTTTCCCATACAGCTATCCCCAGGCAGGAGAGGAATCGAACCCAGGGCACCATTTCCAGTGCACGCTGCCCACTGGAGCAAGTGACTGGTCATATACACAATGAACTGGCGGTCAGTTTGCCCCAGGGTCCAGACAATGACATTGCTGGAAGCCTCTCCCAAGGCTCCACAGACTATGGTCCAAATGTGAGTAACTCCCAGAGCTCACTGCCTAGTTGCAGCTCACTCAACCTCTCCACCATGTCTGTGGCCGGTCTGAGAGCTGTCGAACTGGTGGAGCAGGGGTCCTGGGAGGCCTGCTTGGATGGGGATATCCATCTAGATACCCTCCTCTCTGGAGAGGCTGTGGGGAGGCCCCAGAAGCCTAGAGACAGGGAAGAATCCAAGAAAGCGGGCCGGGGACATATGACTCCAAACCTCTACCAACAGCCCTCTGCAGGCTCAGAGCCGATCCCCATTCTGCACCACAGCTCAGTGTCCGGCCGCGTGACGTTGAGTGTCCACTGGAGCTCAGATGATCAGGATGAGAGGGATATGACCTCGGGCCAAAGCTCCATGGACCTGAAGGAAAGGTTGTCCCAGAAATCCTACAGGACAGGACTGACCAGAAGTCTGTCTTTGGATAACGTGATCCCTACCACATATCAGCAGCCATCCGCAGCCACTAGGCTGACCTCAAGCCTATCTCAGCCATCGGTAGTCAGTAAGGTGGCCCCAAACCCAGGCCAGCCATTTATGGTCAGTAAGGTCACCTGCAGCACATCTGAATTATCGATGGCTACTAAGGTCATCCCCAGCCTAACTGAGCCATCTATGCCTAGTAAGGTGAACCTCAGCCTAGACCAGAAATCTTGGGCTAGTGGGATGACCCCCAGCCTAGCCCAGCCATCGACGACTGGTGGGGGAGCCACAAACCTAGTGCAGCCATTTGTGACTGGAGAGGTGGCCCCCAGCCTAGCTCAGCCATCTGTGACCAGTGGGTTAGCCCCCAACCTAGCCCAGCCATCTGTGACCAGTGGGTTAGCCCCCAACCTAGCCCAGCCATCTGTGACCAGTAGGGTGGCCCCCAGCCTAGCCCAGCCATCTGTGACCAGTGGGTTAGCCCCCAACCTAGCACAGCCATCTATGACCAGTGGGGTGGCCCCCAGCCTAGCTCCGCCATCTGTGACCAGTGGGTTAGCCCTCAACCTAGCGCAGCCATCTATGACCAGTGGGGTGGTCCCCAGCCTAGCTCTGCCATCTATGACTAGTGGGGTGGCCCCCAGCCTAGCTCCACCATCTATGACTAGTGGGGTGGCCCCCAGCCTAGCCCAGCCATCTGTGACTGGTGGAGTGGCCCCCAGCCTAGCACAGGTATCTATGACCGGTGGGGTGGCTCGCAGCCTAGCTCAGGCATCTATGACCGGTGGGGTGGCTCTCAGCCTAGCCCAGCCATCTGTGACCGGTGGGGTGGCCCCCAGCCTAGCCCGGCCTTCTGTGACCAGTGGGGTGGCCCCTAGCCTAGCCCAGCCATCTATGACCAGTGGGGTGGCACCCGGCCTAGCCCGGCCATCTGTGACCAATGGGGTGGCCCCCAGCCTAGCCCAGCCATCTATGACCAGTGGGGTAGCCTCCAGCCTAGCTCAGGCATCTGTGACCAGTGGGGTGGCTCCCAGCCTAGCCCGGGCTTCTGTGACTGGTGGGGTGGCCCCCAGCCTAGCTCAGGCATCTATGACCAGTGGGGTGGCTCCCAGCCTAGCCCAGCCATCTGTGACCGGTGGGGTGGCCCCCAGCCTATCTCAGCCATTTGTAACCGGTGGGATGGCCCCCAGCCTATCCCAGGCATCTATGACCAGTGGGGTGGCCCCCAGTCTAGCCCGGCCATCTGTGACCAGTGGGGTGGCCCCCACGCTAGCCCGGCCATCTGTGACTGGTGGGGTGGCCCCCAGCCTAGCCCAGCCATCTGTGACCAGTGGGGTGGCCCACAGCCTAGCTCAGGCATCTGTGACTGGTGACGTGGCCCCCAGCCTAGCCCAGCCATCTGTGATCGGTGGGGTGACCCCCAGCCTATCTCAGGCATCTGTGACTGGTGATGTGGCCCCCGGCCTAGCCCAGCCATCTGTGACCAGTGGGGTGGCCCCTAGCCTAGCCCAGCCATCTATGACCAGTGGGGTGGCACCCGGCCTAGCCTGGCCATCTGTGACCAATGCGGTGGCCCCCAGCCTAGCCCAGCCATCTATGACCAGTGGAGTAGCCCCCAGCCTAGCTCAGGCATCTGTGACCAGTGGGGTGGCTCCCAGCCTAGCCTGGCCTTCTGTGACTGGTGGGGTGGCCCCCAGCCTAGCTCAGGCATCTATGACCAGTGGGGTGGCTCCCAGCCTATCTCAGCCATTTGTAACCGGTGGGATGGCCCCCAGCCTATCCCAGGCATCTATGACCAATGGGGTGGCCCCGAGTCTAGCCCAGCC